TATATATATATAAGTATGAATATATAGCATAATATAGTATTGTTTAGTATTTTAATTGCATTTAGATTCTTATGCATATATATAAGTTATATATATTAAAGTTGAGTGGCCTGATGCAGTATGTTTTATCAGGTTCTAGGATTAGCCTACACTGAATCCTGGGAAATGTAGGTCATGGCCTTTACCTTTCATGATTTTATCCTGGTCATGAAGACAAAAGAGTGAACATGTTTCACGCACTGATAAGTGTGCATGTGACGTCTATGTGTCTGAGGTGCATTTTGGACTGAAAAAAGTGTCCATGCATGAAGAGCAAATTATCATGCCTCAGTCTGCACGCCAATAAGCAAATGCATGTGTATGTAAAACACTTGGCCTGGATAGATGGGGAAAGAGGGACAAGGGATTGGTGAATGGTGAGGTGGGGGATGGGGTGGTGGTGGGGGGGTTAGAATCCCGGTAAGGAAAATTAGAGAACTTGGAAAAAAATCAAAAGAGCGCACAAAAGACAAGAAAGGAAGATGGACGGCCCTTTCGCTCTCTCTTTATTTGTTCTAAATAAACCTAGTTTGTGCTGGCTTGTGCACGAGCCACACAAACCACACTCTCTCAATTTTCGAAATCTACAATTTCACATCCCCCTAATTACAGTGGGGTGTAGCATTTCTTATTGCATCCTGCCAACGATTGTACGCAAATACGCACATACAAGGTCACGGAACGAATGAGAGGCCCGTCGTTAAGGTCCTTATTAAGTTCATTAAGCGCAGTTGTGATCATTTACATTCACTTCCAAGGCGATAATTCACTAAAAATAGTATTTTTACGTCTGGAGAGTGTGTTTTCCTGTAGTTGTGTTTTATTTTCAATGGCAGATGTAAAAAGGCAGTGCATTATTCTTCTTTTCTCCTTGAGAATCGAGAATAATGACCTCTTCTGTACAAACGTCTTGCACATGGTAGGAGTGTAGTCATGGAGACCTTGTTAGCTGTCAAGAAAGGTACCGCATTTTACTATTACACTCTCAGACACACACACACACACACACACACATCCAACCGCATTCTAATGCTTTCCCAGAAGTCTACGGTGGTACTGAAGAGAGTATAATCAGTATTGCAGTATAATCCTCCGTCTGTGTGTGTGTGTCCCAAAACTGTCCCGAAACAGCTTGCCCTATTTTTCTTCCCACAAGCCCTCTCACTCCTTCTCATTTACATTCCCAGTACAATGCAAGTCCCCCTCAACCCCCCACCCCCCTTTTTTAAAGAGCCCTGAAAAGTGAATGAATGTAGGCCATTCGGTTGCAGCAAGTTCCTCTCTCATTCCTGAAGCATCCCCGGATGCATCCCTATCTCTCCACCCTGGGCAAGAGTTCAGTAGGGTGCTTGGTGTGCCTTCAGGTTAATCTGTGGAAGTAGCAGATGCTGGTGATCATTAACCTGAGAGAACCTCCTAAGTTCTATTTCTGAGTTTGGCACCTTAGCTTCCTTGTGGTACCAGAGCAGTGAAATAAGAGAGAGACCCAATTTGCTGTGTCGCCGCTTGCCTTCACATTTTCCTTCAAGTTTATACATTCTGGGTCCGACACCCTCAAAACTCCACAGAGGGCTGGGCGGTATGAACAGTAGAAATGTCTCAACCATTAGCTATATAATTTATATATAGGCTATGCAGTATATAATTATACAGTATACACTAGTGTTTAAAAGTTTGAGGTCAGTAAGATTTTTTTAATTTTGAAAGAGATTTGTGAGGAATGCAGTGAATTGATCAAAAAAATATTTCTATTTCAAATAAATACTGTTACCTAGAACTTTCTATTCATCAGAAAATACTGAAAAAATGTATCATGGCTTACCCAAAATTCAGCAGCACAGCTGTTTTCAACATTAATAATATTAACAGATGTTTCTTAAGCAGCAAATCAGCATATTAGAATGATTTCTGAAGGATCATGTGACACTGAACACTCAAGTAATGGCTGCTGAAAATTCAGCTTTGCCATCACAGGAATAAATTACATTTTACAATATATTAAAATAGCAACAGTCTTGAATTGAATATCTAACATTACAGTTTTTAACTTTTTTTGATTTTATTTTGTTGACACGGTTTACTACATTAATACAGAATTCAACTGATCTCAGGTGTGCAACTCAGCATATTTCAGCATTGTTTATACATTCTGGGTCCGACACCCTCAAAACTCCACAGAGGGCTGGGCGGTATGAACAGTAGAAATGTCTCAACCATTAGCTATATCATTTATATATAGGCTATGCAGTATATAATTATACAGTATACACTAGTGTTTAAAAGTTTGAGGTCAGTAAGATTTTTTTTAATTTTGAAAGAGATTTGTGAGGAATGCAGTGAATTGATCAAAAAAAGATTTCTATTTCAAATAAATACTGTTATCTAGAACTTTCTATTCATCAGAAAATACTGAAAAAATGTATCATGGCTTACCCAAAATTCAGCAGCACAGCTGTTTTCAACATTAATAATATTAACAGATGTTTCTTAAGCAGCAAATCAGCATATTAGAATGATTTCTGAAGGATCATGTGACACTGAACACTCAAGTAATGGCTGCTGAAAATTCAGCTTTGCCATCACAGGAATAAATTACATTTTACAATATATTAAAATAGCAACAGTCTTGAATTGAATATCTAACATTACAGTTTTTAACTTTTTTTGATTTTATTTTGTTGACACGGTTTACTACATTAATACAGAATTCAACTGATCTCAGGTGTGCAACTCAGCATATTTCAGCATATTTTTTACTTTAGCTTTAAACATGGCTCATGCAGTCCTACTTATTATATATTAGTTATTTCCTAAATATCACAATGTTAAAGGGATAGTTCACCAAAAAATGAAAATTCTGTCATTAATTACTCACCCTCATGTCGGTCCAAACCTGTAAAACCTTCGTTCATCTTCAGAACACAAATTAAGATATTTTTGATGAAATCCGAGAGCTTTCTGACTTTTTGAATAAAGTTGTTATTTTTCTTTTCTTTGCACACAAAAAGTATTCTTGTAGCTTCATAAAATTATGGTTGAACCACTGATGTCACATGGACTATTTTAACGATGTCCTTAGTTGTGTTGCCGTCTTAATAAGTCTTAATTTATGTACCGAAGTTGAACAAATGTCTTAGGGTTTGAAATGACATGAGGGTGAGTAATTAATTACAGATTTTCATTTTTGGGTGAACTATCCCTTTAAAGCTGTTTCTGTACCAATGGCAGAATTATACAAAATATATTACATGTTATTTAATATATAAAACATTTTGGGGTTAAATTTTCTTGCTAAATTGACCTTTATCATAATATATACTGTACTTTCAAACCTCCATATAAGATTTTGGTCATACCTCCCACTCCTCCACCAACTCCTCAGCAGTCACAATTTCTGCCAGTGTAAAAAAAAAACACTTTTCCTGCTTAGACCTCCACGACGCAAGCCGCCATGTTCATTCCAGTAGAAATAAAGTATTTCATTAATGTTTTTCTTCCTCACATGGATCCCGGACCACCTAACACCTGTACTGCTAACAAGTATGGCTAAGTTTGTTCCTGCGTGGGAGAGCCCCCCAACCTATCTTGTGGAATAAATGAACACATTCATCCAGTGCTGAGTGGAGCTCTGTCCCCACCACAAACCAAAAGCAAACAAGCCCGAAGCACTGTTCAACTGTTCGAGACCATTTCTTCGGTTTCTTTTTGGCCGTGTCTGCTCCTTTAAGGCCCACGGTGGATTTGATACACATTCTCTGTGGTAGTTTTGAGGCCCTGTATTAGTTCTCCTCCCTTCATTTCCCATATTTCTTCTACAGTAGGCTATCTCTCCACCCAAATCTGTTTAATTCCGCTGGGTCATGCATGTGTTACAAAACAATTTAGAAAAGCACAAAAAAATGCTTAAAGCTTTATGGTTTGATTCACAGAACAGCTGTGCACAATAACTTGAGATAGGAATGTACTATTCATCATAAATATACTTTATAATATAAATGTATACTCCATTCATATAAACACAACAGGCCTAACTGATTAAACGCGAGCAGAACAAATTTCAATGTAAATTGTAAGTAAAATCCTGTAAATTAATTTTAGCTAAGCCCCGCCTTAAAATGCCACTGACTAATCCTGCCTTATTTTTGTTCTTTTTAATGTGAGTCTATGAACTGCATGTTTTAGATGCAAAAAATAAATTTTCAAATTTAAAAAAAAAAAAAATATATATATATATATATAATATATAAAAATATATAATTAACAAAAATAATAAAAATATGATAAAACAAAGTTGCCATATAATGGTAAAAAAGTACCTTGAGAGGATATAAGTATTTTTTTTCTTTTTTTTATCTTTAAATAAATCTTGTTCCATGCATAATTAAAAAAAAAACTGAAAAAATATTTTTTGTGTCACACTTCATTCCAGTCCATGTAAGAATACCACTTTATGAGCACATTTTACTGACAATCATGGGAATCTTCATTCATTCATTCATATTTGATGTTCTGTAAAGCTTGTCTGAGTAAGCAACAGGAACCAAGGAAGGCGAGGCTTAGCGAAGGATCACTTGTCGCATTCATTCTGCTCATGTTTCTTGAATACGCAATGTTGAAAACTAATAGTTACACTAACATCAGCAAGTCAAAATCTCTTTAAACACATTTATGACGTACAATACCCCGTATATGTCATCCTCAAGAGAACACTTGATACATTTTCAGCGTTATTCACTCTTGACAGTTTGCCATGTATTACATAAGTAACCCACACCCTGCGGTAACCGATAGCTGCTTCTTGTATTTAACACAGAGGAACCTGAGTTCATAGCCCAGGGTGTCACTGACGAACTCCATTGAGTCACTGAAACCGAAACTGATCTCATAACGGCCATCATTCCTCTTAAAACCTCAAGCTATTAAGTACAGAAACTCCCCTTTGGCTAATTTACATGACTTACCTCTCATACTCCTGGTTATCATGGTCACACCGCGCGTCTTTGTGCTTCTCCCAGTCCTTGCCGTGGCGGCACGTCGTTAGTGAGACGATGTCCTTGCCATTGTGGATGTGATGCAAAGCGTTGCGAGTGTCTGAGCCGATGCCCGTCAAGTAACGTTTACCTTTAAACATCAACAAGTACTTCCGTCTTGGCGGGACGGTGTTGCGAACTAACCAGCCCCTCTCTCCACCCTTCTGAGGGTGTTCTTTAGAGAACAAAGGGATGGAAATGTCAAAGCCCGGTCGGAAGTGTTCCGTATTCAGGCTTGCTTTGGCCAGGATAGCCTGGCCCACGTTAAAACCCAAGTCCTCGGTGTAGTTGGGCCAGGTTCCGGAATAAAGGTTGAAGATGACATGGTTCCGCCCGTCATTCCAGAGCGGGTAACCTCGAATTCGCTCGTCCATGTTGGGCACAAACTGCATCGATAGCTGGTCCCTGTCCAGCGTGTCGATTCCCAGCACGAACAAACATGCCTCTCGAGGGTCCGACGTGAAATACCGTGAGTCCGCGACCGAGGTGAGGATCTTGCGGTAACTCTCAGACACCCGTTCGCCCTTCTCCGGCGGATAGATGTAGACCCGAAAGCCACTCTGCCCTTGACATCGGGCGAAGTCAAAGCAGGTGTCCATCCTGCAGTGACTGTTCTTGTAGATTCCGGCCCACGACTGCCGGCGCTGCCTTGGCGAGTCACCCGGACCCCCAGCATTTTGTAGCTCGGCCTGGTCGGCGTAACCCGGGAGCAGGTCCCGATCCAACCAGTTGGGCCAGGGCCGCGCTACCTCCCCCCTCCTGTGGGTGATGAGACCCAGGAGCCGTTCCTGCAAGCCGCCCCAGTAATAGAGCAACAGCCAGCAGCACATGCACAGGCCCAGAAGCACGTACTTCTTGCGTGCCTGCATGAGGCCGTCTCTCTCACCCTCTGTGCTCCAGGGCTGTCCCGGGAGCTTCAGCAGGGGGGAGACGGGATGGACAGCAGGGGCCGAAGCTCCAGCATAGCCCCGATGCCCACTTGTCCATCAGTGAAAACCAGAGACACGAATGCGCTCTTTTTCTCCGTCTCGGTTGTCTGTTCACAAGACGGTAAGCTCATGTGACAGAAGTACGTGTGTGCTCCGCTGTCGTCCGCTGGAAGTGATGCAGTGCAATTTCTCCTCTCTTGGTAGTCCTTCTCTCTGCATGGCTCAGTGAATCCCCTCTGTGTTACCCTAGCAGAGAAATTAACAACACACTTCAGTACACAGCCTTCTGTTCATTTATATCAGTACTGCCATGAACACAGACTCTTATCCCATCCTCAAACACTCAACAGATTCAAACACATGAAAACTTTAGTGAGCAAGCAATGCATCATGGATGGCAGCACATTACAGTGGGAAGGGTCATATTTCAGGCATTTTTTGGAAAGTGGTGCACTGTGGTTAAAAAATGAACATGAATACCAGACATTATACTCATGGACAGTACGATACATTTTTTGTATGTAAATAGGCCAGTCAAATGTATGAGTATCACAGCATTAACTAATGAAATGTCCAATATCCAATAAAGTTTTTTTAAAGATAAATGTATATCACAAAAAGATTTTAGGGGGATTTAAATAAAATACATTTAAATCAATAAATAAAAACAGAAATATTGTTCAAAAAGAGGACAAGATGTTTTTTGTGATACTGTGTTATCTTGAGGAGAGTTCTGATTTGATGTATGTACATACATTTATTAAAAACTATCTAGACAACAGTTAAAGTTTGAAACTCTTATGGTTTAAAGTAATAAAACAATGGCTCAGAAATGTGAAGTTAATTGTAAGATAAAGCTCCTAAAATACCACTTGGTTTGATATTTTGTCTGTAATGCAATACAATTTCTACATTTTTAGGTGAAATCCTGCATAACCTGTAGTCTGAAACTTATGAGTCAGTTATTTTTTATGAAAAAAAAAACCTGTAGTCTGATTTGCAAATAAATTAATCTTATGAATTTTGCTATTTTAATTAATTAAAAACATACAGCATTACCAGTGTAGTCTGATTCTCGAACGAATTATTATTATGAGCCAGTTCTTTTTATTAATTTAAAACCATACAGCACAACCAAATGTAGTCTGATTCCCGAACAAATGATTCCTATGAGCAGGTCTTTGTGAATTTTTTGTGGGAAAAAAGCCTTTTTTTTTTAAGACTCACATACTGAACTTCCATCTTGTCCAAAATGAACCAAGTGCTGTTCGGCTGACCCTGAAGTGATCTTCTGAAGAAGATATTCTGAACAATGTTTTTGTTCATACAATGAAAGTCATTGGGGTCCAAACCAAAATTGGACCCCACTGACTTTCATATTGAGAAATTTTTCAAAATATATTTTCCATTCAGTTTTGTACAAGTAAATGCTGACAGAATTTCATGTTTGGATGAACTACACATAGAACCAGAGCCACACATTTCCTTATAGGGGCTTTCGCACCGTGCAATTCTAAGAACTCAGTTCTATAGGAACTATCCAGCATGGTGGCTCCTACAAAACCAAGTTCCCCTCGGGCCGTTTTCCTGCTTGCAATCGCGGCCAACAGCGACATCTTTATTTGCAGCATTTACAACCAGTGAATGGAGGAACACCATGATTGGAGCTGTTTTTGTTGTGTGTCATGGATTTGTGATGACAGAGATGTAAATGCACAATTTACGCGATTGAAAAAGCATGAAAATCTGACTAAATCTCGTACACTTACATCAATGATAGTTCCTATAGAACTGTTTTAGACCCTACTCTGAAGTAGGAGCTCATTGTAATTCCCCCAAACGGAGTTCCTAAATATGTTCCTAGTTTCTGCTGTGCGAACAGGCCAAAAAGTGGGCACTTCCGCCAGTAGTTATAGGAACTATGAAAATATTCCTCCGATGTGAAAGCCCCTTATGATTCCCATTTTGCCTGTATATATAAAAGGGCAGTTAACAGTTTGAATAGGGGAAGTTAACAAAACAACATAGTCCAGTGAGTTTTTGCACAACATCAAAGCCCTCCACGGGTGCGTTATCAAGTGAATCATCACATGCCCAACCCTGGTGGTGGGCTTAAAAGACTGTGTGTGCACCGGTATGAGGCCATGCTTGATTTGAAATTGGTGTATTTAGTCTTGTGGTCCGAGTCGGTTCTGCTGTTTTCACACACACACTGGTGCAGTGTTTCGAGTGAACATGCAAAACATGAGCTGGGGAACGATAGCATCCACCCTCTGCAAGCTCCAGTTGAACGGAGATGAAGGGGGTGAAAAAATAAGGCGCTTTGAGAAGCCCGAATCGAAAGAGAGAGCCGAGACTGAATCTGATGCCAGTTAATCTAAAGGCAGATTGAGGTTCTTTTTGGTTTGTTTGTTTGCTCTGCCGGGAAGCACGCTACGGTTTTGAAGGGGAGGTGTTTGTCAAGAAAGTGCCCTCCTCTCATCAAAGTGTGTACCTGTCTCTGTGTGCGGCGTCAGTGTTTCTACTGCCAGGCAATGCACAAAGACAGCTTTCAGGTCTCACCTGCCACACTTGTTTTTCTCTTCACTCTTCCCTCGCCTCTTCCCTACCTCTACCTTTCTGCTAAATTCCCCTAGAGTTTCTGTCTTATCTCTTTAAGCTGTCTGACCTAGCGCAAACTAATCTAAAGCTTTTAAAGAATATAAAGGGCCTGTGTGTTGTTATGCATGCATGTGAGTGTATGCTTATGGAGATTCCTCTTATATGCATTAATAATGTTTGACAGGTACAGAATATGAGGTAAAATGCAGTATGCTGTTTGTAGTGAACTTGTGTGTGATCATGAAGCTAGCGTAAGATCTGCGTGCTGGCATTTTCACGGTAAAGCTCCCCTCACTGCAGGCCAAGCACATATTTGTCGGGAAACAGATGCAGAGGATTCCATTGCAAGCTGCTCATTATTAATGCATGACTCCCTTAGTTAGGACATTGATTTCCCTTCTTTTCTTTCGTTTGGCTTTTTATGCCTCAAAGGTGAAGTTAATCTGAATTTTCTTTTGAAAATGAACTTTATTTAAGATTTCCACTTGCATGACGTAAAGATCACTCATGCTACGCTTAACTAGGGATGCCAGAACCAACCTAATGAATATAGGACAATGCAAATTTGGATGGACAAATTTGGATGCGCGTGAACCTGGGTTTTGTCCCCCTCAATCTCTCATCCCTACTATAATAAAAATAAACAAAATTATAATAAATAAATAATAAAAATAAATGATATGTAAAAGTTTGGAATAATAGAGATTTTAATGTTTTTCTCACGAAGGCTGCGTTTGATCAAAAATACTGTAAAAACAGTAATATTGTGAAATATCATCAGAATTTAAAATAACTTTTTTTATTTTATTACATTGTTTAAAATGTATATTTTAATATAATTTTTACTGGAGTAATTGCTGCTGAAAATTCAGCTTTACCAGCACAGGAATAAATTATATTTTAAAATATACTGAAAAAGAAAGCACTTATTTTGAATTGTAATATTATTTCACAATATTACTGTTTTTACTATTTTTAACCAATAAATGCAGCCTTTGCGAACATTAATGATGTCTTTCAAAGAAATAAAACTAATTACTGGCTGGCTGCCAGTGTGTATATAATTTGTATTATTTATTTATTATACTTTTATTTATTATTATATATTTTATATTACATAATTTTATTATCAATATTTATCAAAATAATTATGTATACACAAAAATGTTTTTGTAATATTTATTAATCATTTTTATTAGCATATTATAATTATATTACATTATAATACACACACATATATATATATATGTATAAAAAAGTAAATTTTTTATATATATATACATATTCTTTTTTTTTGGGGGGTATAAAAAGCTTCGTTTAAACGAGACCGCAGCCGTCCCGTGAAGGCCTCCTCGTGTGCAGACCGAAGAGTGTAAAGACCATCAACTCTACCGTGCGACTCCACACTTCAACAAACTAAATGGAAATGAAATAATATATATATATTGAATTTATAAATGTGTATGTACATATACAGTATATACTGTATGTTATGTGTGTGTGGTTGTACATACACATATATGTAGTTGTTTTTTTGGTGTTTGGCTTAGTGTTATGTTATTATACTCTTATACCTTTTGTTCTTTAATATTTTGAATTGTTTTTAGCTTTGTTTTTTTGTTTTTCATTTAAATGCTAAGTTTTGAAATGTTGTTGTATGCATTTGTCTCTTTTATTTAATCTCTTTATTTTTAAAATGTGTATAGGTAGTATTTATAAAGTTTTAGCTTTTAGTTTTGGATCTGTTTTTAGTTGTTTTAATACTACAATTGATTGCTTCTGTTGTCCTCATTTGTAAGTCGCTTTGGATAAAAGTGTCTAATAAATGACTAAATAAAAATAAAAAAATATATATATTGTTATATTGTTATACATAAGAACTGTAAATGTCAAAATGATAAACATATATATCTAAAAAATATATATATTTAAAAAAAATTTATCCTTACTTTTACCCCCATGACAAAACAATGTCACATAGTGAAACACAAGCGGAAAAGCTGGGAATTAAAATGCAGATTAAAAGAACCATCACAAATTAAAAATAGGAATCATTATACAAAAAAGGCATTTTGTCTGTATCAGAGGAATTTTTAATTTAAACAAAAAAAACTTTGTCTTTTGCTTTTTTTTTCCATGGGTCATGATTTTTTCTTCATAGTAGAGTTCAAAATAAATAAACATCTTTTTAATGTAACTGTAAGAACACACTTTCCTTCTTTTACATCCGGATTATGTAATCACATTCCAAATATTCCATCATTCCCCAAGCCTGCATCCAGCTGACAGAAGGTTGGAATCGACAGAGAGGGAGTGATCACTAGCTTCAGCCCCACAGGGACTGTTTCTCTCTCTCTTTCTTACTCTTCCTTGCAGTTTCCTCCTCCTATCACAATTACTTTTTATTTTTCTCATTCATCTTCCTCTTGCCTTCTTTTCTCACCGCCACTGTAAGTCTCTCCCGCTCTGTCTTTCTCCGCACCGTATATCAAATGGGGTAGGGCTCCAGAAACAGGCTGCAGGCAGTGTAATGAGATCGAGATGTGATGGCATATTGCTCAGTCACCATGACAGGAAACAGCTGAATAAGTGAACACAGCCTTCCAAACTTTCAGTGATCTGTCTTCTGGACACTTCATTAGCTTTTTCAGAACAAGTGTTTTCCACTTGTAAAGTCCCTGTGTGAAGGGAAAAACTATGCTAGTGTCTTTTGGCAATGGACAGTGAATATGGAGAAGGACAGCGGGCAGGTGGATGTAGCCAAGAGGCAGCAGTTGTGTGCTTGGTGAGTTAGTTTCCTGTGTCGTGCCTGCTGCCCAGACTGCTCTGGCCTGAGCCGTTTTCTCACATGACGAGTGTGTGACAGCTGGACATAGAGCTTATCTCCCCTGGCCCATCTCCCTCTACAGCCAATAAATCAGATCTATACTAAAAAGCCTGCTTGGAGAACGTGTTTTCCTTCCACATCTAAATTATACTCTATATAATGAAATTTTCTTTAGCTTTAAAATGTCAAAAGTACAATTTCTGCAATGCAGACCTGCTAAATAATGTCAGATAGGTTTTTCTAAGTGCTCCCCAAGCTGCCATTGGTTAAACAAATAGATAGTTCTGCCCTAAACTCACGTCATTGGCTGAACCAGTGTTGCTGTGTCGAACTGTTCAGGTTTGTCAAACAAACTATGAAAACTGTACAATACACATTGCCTTTACAGTTTCTTGAGAAATCAACCTAAAAAAAGAGAAAAATTCAAAGTTGCATATTAAGCTGATATGAGAAAATATTTAAATATATATATATATATATATATATATATATATATATATATATTGTTTTTTTAGTTGAGATCAATTCCAAAATTCCAATTCCTGTGAGAAAATAAAAAAAGAGAACAGATACCTGGCATACTTCATATAGCAGATTGTATTGCTCTTGAGGCTTCT